CAGAGTAGGATATAGGACAAACATTTGATAAAAGAATCACCCAGCACTGCATGCAACTGACTGCACAGGTGGAATCATTAGTCTGGATCAGATCCCAGAAGGTTTTTATGATGGTGCTTTTAAAATGTGGCCATGTTCTTTCGGAGCAGAGTAGACTCAGTGGCTTCCAGGAACAGGAGTGTAGTATCATTTCAGGGTGTCTACCAGTAGATCTTCCTTTTAGTCATACGGTACCATGCACTAACTTAGGGTAGTCATATAGTTTGTTGTAGCTAAACAAGTTGTTTGTTTTCTTCTTAATAGTGTGTGCATGTGTGAGGAAAACAGGAACAGATACCAACCCCCGCCCCGCGCCCCTCCCCTGCCTTTTGTCCCTGCAAAAGGGTAGGTGTGATGATTGCTCCAGGGTGGTCTGTCAGAGGGGTAATAAAGCTGTCTTTGGAAACCACAAAAGGAACTTAGATTCTTTCCACCACCCTTCCCTATTATGGCAAAATTCTTAATTTCTTCCTAACCAGAAATTTTCTCCCTAAAACTAATGTTGCCTTCAGGTTGTGCAAATCTCGCATGAATTACTGGGTTGAGCAATGCGAGGAGGAATGTAATGAAGAAAAAGATATGCTCAGTGGATAGGATGGGAAAAAGAGTTGTCACTGAAATGTCAGAGCCTGTGTCAGAGAAGGAGAAGAAAAAACTTAGTGGCTCATCTAGTTAAGCTCATGCAAGGGTTTTGCATTGCAATTATTGCTACTGTGTTTCATCCAGAAAATAGAGACGAATGGATTTATGGTAAAACAACGGATTGGGACTCACATCTGTGTTTTATTTTCTGCCTGTCAGAGGTTCAGTTCTGACCTTGGAGCACTTCTTATATCTGTACAGCTCACTTCTTCCTCATCTGTAAAATACGGATAACAGTACTCCTCTAAGTACTCCTCTACTTCAGAGTGGTCATAGGAGGAACAGTACTTTGATGTACTGTTCTAAAGAGTGGTAGATATTATAAAAGGGCCTAAACAGACAGTCAAGTCTTAAAAGTTCTTGGGCAAAGGAGCTTTTTATACAATACTCGAGGTGCAGGCACCAAGAGATGGTTTTGACAACCCATTTTATTCTCTGACTTGCTCTGATTCTGTGTTTGACTACAATTTACAGAGGCTGAGTGATCCCTGAAAATTGAGTGGCAGCAGTGACAATCACAAAACAGGGTCAGCAAGAACCTTTGAGTGCAAAACAATCATGGGTGCTGGATTATTCAAATCAACACCCTCAAGCCTGAAAAGGAAATTTTAAGTCTTTGTGAAAATTATGACTAATTCTTTGCAATGGCTGTGGTGCTGTAGAGGAATGAAATGGATGGTTGGGGGAAGGGAATAGGTTTGCATTCTGTAGGGCTATGAAGACAGTTTCCTTGCATCCTTCTCCTCAGCTCAGTCCTTGCTCAGTACCCTCTGCGGTTAGATTATTCCTTGCAGATAGCAATCAACTGGAAGGAAGTGTGTGTCTAATTTGCATGAGATTATTTAAAACAAAAAAAAAGGTCTGCATTAGTCAGGGTGATGGTAAACAACGCAAAGAGATGCCTTTTATAATATAGCCGTGGCTCAGCTTTCAAAGCCAAATATAATTCACTTACAATTGGCAGTTTCCTTTATTGTTCCTTTTAACCTTTTGCATTCTGCATGGTCTTGATCTTGCTGAAACTCCAGAAGAACTAAAATGTTTGTTTTCGAAAGTGTTGAGAAAGTGGGTTTAGAGCAATTCTTCTGTTAAACTGAGGTGATTTTCTTGACATACCTATTTGAGAGTTATATTAGACACAAAGCTCCAGTTTTCGTGGCACTGCTTTTGCATCCAAGGGAATTGGTATTATTTTTGGGTTACTGACTTCCTGCTAGATTAGAGCAATGAATGGACCATGGATACTTTTTTATATAGTGCAGTGATAGAAGGACACTGATAAAATAAAGCAAGGTGAGATATTGGAACAGATGACACTTTGTCCTGGTTTAGAAATTCCCACTTTTCTATGTAATTAATATATCAAGGTTGAATAATTTTGGGCATGGAAAACTCATACTGTGTGCATACATGTGTGTAGGTGGTGAATCTGAAAAAAATTCAGTCCAAAGGGAATTTTGATGAGTTAGTTATAATTGCCTGAGGACAGTCTTAGAATATCTTGTACGTTTTTGTTAGTGTGTGTGAGAAATGACAACCATGAAGACAGGTATATTTCTGAATCTACAGGTGACTAGTTGCAGTGCAGACTTACTCCATGTATATGCTTAAGGAGTCAGCTCCAGGAGATTATTCCCTTGATGCTTGGAGGCCCAGATAACAGGGCCTTAAAAACATCTTGTTCAGATGAATAAAAAGGAGGCGTTCCAAGGTGATGACACTCCCAGTCTTCTCCTCTGATAATTAAGAAGGGATGTAGTTGTGATGTTCTTTTGTATAATGCCACTAGTACCATGAACAAGACCACTTTACAAGGCAGCAGAATAGTCCAGGGAAGTAATAAGAATTTTAATTTGCACTGCTTTGCACAGGATTCAAACCAGGATCTCAAACGTGATGTTTCCCATCATTCTATCATGCTCATCAGCTTTTTCTTCACAGTACAGCAGAGTTTTAATGGAAATAGTGATACTTGAATGTGTCACTAGTTGGCAAGACCAGAATAATCCTAGAACTGCATTTTATCTGCAAAAGATTTTAGGTTTTTTTCTCCAACAGGATGAGAATCGAAGGGGCAGTATGGTTAGGAAACAATAAGCATTGTTTCCTGCTCTTTTTGCAGAATGAAGTAAGGATCCTCCATAACTTCCGTATGTTTCTAAGTGTTAAATATTATCAGATTTGCTATCTTTGCATGGAAATAGAACAATGCCCTGTTCTAGTGGGAGCCATATTTGCAGCCAGCAGCTAATATTGCCTCCATGTTTATGAAATTCCATAGTTGCTAGTGATCTGCCGTGTTGGCATCTGTTTATGCTTTCTCCTACACTGGATAATTAGGAGCTGGTTAAAACAGTTTCTTTCTGATTTAGGACTTTGCTTTTTAACATGGATTAGACACCATAAATATTGCTTTTGTGACTAGAACAATAGGCTAAGTTGTGTTCATGTGCCTTTTATTACTCTCAGTGCAAGTCTTGTTCCATACTGTTATGTGTGGTTTTGGTTCCTTACTATTTGAGGTACGCATCAAATACAAGTAAAGGGGTGATTTTGTCAGATTGCAGGACCAGAGATCAGGAACTTCAGATTTCCGATACTGTATCTGACACTGACAATATTCTGTTATGTTAGAGAAATCACCTAACTTCTCTGTGCATCACTCTCTGCACTGTAGAGTAGATATAAGAGTAACTCACAGGAACTCACAGTGTCTCACATAATCGCAGGAATGGGGAAAAGATCTGTTAATAGTTATAAAGCCTTCTGAATACCAGAAGCACCGTGTCAGTGCTTTATGATATTAAATAACAGTTCTGAGACAGACTTGTGTATTTATTTCTGGCAATATTGTTTGTGCTACAGATTATTCTGTCTAGACCCCCAGTATGCAGTGAAGTTTAAGATCCTGAAAAAATTTCTCGAAACTTAGGTAATATGCCCAGATATGTCCATTTTCTATATTGTATCTCCCTGTAATGTTAAAGAACTAACTGTTTTAAAGGGTAAAGTTCAGGAATTTCATCTACCAGCAATACTTTATGGATCTCGAGTGGAGGTGATGGAGAGAAAGTATTCCCCCATTTTTCTCCCACTGCTGTCATATTCATACCATTTTCCTAACTGTGCTCAGTCCCTACAACAACTGTGTGAAAATCAAGCGGTCTGTCTCTTCTCTTCTAAGTCTCTTTCCTTAAATCTGTATTCTCACTTCCAACCTTTCTGAATGTTTTTGCATACACACTGCGTGTATAGTAAAAGGTCCCGAATCACTTCACATGTTCCTCATAGCAAGGACGCTGGCTTTCTATCTGCTTCTGTGCAGGAGAATAACATAACAAATAATACACAGCTGTCCAGGCCCCACATCGTGGTTGCCATCTGAGTCCTAAATTCTTTTTCTAGAGGATGTTTTCTACTGTTGGAAAAAATAATCCAGCCGTGCTTCCTTCTTCACAGATGCTGGTCATCGTGAATCCTTTAGCTGCTTTTCTTTTCCCCCTTGTTGGCCAAATCCTTTCCATATGTTGTGGCCAATTACAGATGGTCATCCTGGCATTTCCTGATGGCAGGAGTGACTGCACCAACATGTACCATGTGTGCAGTGTTACTACAGCTCTGCGTGAAATAAAAACCAGGCTGCCCTGGGGCAATCTAATCATGCAGCAATAGGCTGGGGCAATGCTAAGCTGAAAGTTTGGGCTTGGCCTTGTTTTGATCTGTTTGTTATAGTTTTATTTCCTCCTTACATTCTGTGTCCCATTCATACTAATCACAGTCAGTCCTGATTTTTTTCTTTTTATTTCTGCATTTGTCATAAAATAAAGCAAATTATTCCCGTCTTCGGAAACGATCTAGACTAATTAGTCGTCTAACCCAATAATTAGTTTTTTGTTTCCCTGTCTGTTTTCATGCATTATTGTTAGTTTTTTCCCCTCTTTTTTTTTTTTACACCATTACAGATTAAAATGAGCCACATTTGCAGTTGATGGTATCTTTTTTTGGGGGGAAGAATGGAGAATTGCAATAGAAAGCTACTTCAAAAGCAGCAATAAACTCAAGGATAAATTAAGGAAATTGAATGAGCCACATTTGGAAGCAGCGTTGAGGCTAATATTCTGTCGCTTAAGGTTAAATTGCAACAGAGAAAGAGAGAGGGAGACATTCCAGTGAATCCAAAATTGGGGAGGCATTACTGCTCAAGTCAGTGCCAAAATTCTTTGCAGCTTGAAAGGGTTCTGCCTGGCTTGAGAATTTAATTATGCGTGCATCAAGTGGGTAAAGGTGCTAAACTGATTTCATTTCCTCTGCTCCCCCAGGCCTGACAGATGAAGAGATTGACCTGGCTTTCCAGCAGTCGGGCACAACCACGGATGAGCCACAGTCCCCAGGTCCTTCTACACAGCTGGTGCCAACTCAGCCCTCTCACCCTGTGGTGTATAGTAAGTAACACTTTGAAAAACATCTGCTCCTGTTGCTTTCTGCAGTGATTTCTGCAGCAATTTCACAGATTTCTGTGCCAGATCCTAGATTTCAATTCAACTAATGCCATACTTTTTGTCAGGATCAGACACCAAATGTTACTTCATAGTTGTTGATGCCTGTGGCAAGATCATATTTCACAAGGAAAATGAGATATGAATGATCACTGTCTACAAACAAACATCATACATACTAGCCTGTGACACCTCTTGACCTGAAGGTGTACAGTCAATACAAATTAGATTCTGATCCACTATAAGGACTTTAAAAAAGCATTTAGTCAACGTAGGACTCAGTCTTCCCTTTAAAACTTAAGGTCATGCTTCCCTTCATCAGTAGGGTTTTCTAATATTTAGATCATTAATATATGATAGAGCTGATAGATTCTTGGATAGAAGGTGCTATAAAAGTACAACCCTATTACATCTTTAGTTATTGCAACAGTGGACTCTGCTCTATAAACTGTTGGACATCATCACAAAGTTTTGTATTTTAGTTAGAGGACGTATTTTCTTAACTAGTGAGGCAACCGAATCAGTTCATAGAATCGTGGAATATCTCGAGTTGGAAGGGACCCATAAGGGTCATCGAGTCCAACTCCCTGCTCCTCGCAGGACTACCTGAAACTAAACCATACAACTAAGAGCGTCATCCAGATGCTCATTGGACTCTGACAGTTAATGCCTTGAACAGTTACTTGAAAGAGGTGTATTTTCAGCACGAACAGCAAGCTAGAATATAAGGTCTTCAGGACTTAGTCTGTGACTTCCTGTGTGTGAGTTTAAGGTCTGGCACAATGGACCCCCAGTATGAACGAGTTCTAAGAGTGCTATCAGGTTACAAATAATAAAAAACAGTTAATAAGGATCCTTAATTTTAACAAGCTTTCTCTCTTCAATCTTAAATAATCTGAAGGGTGACAGCAGAAATTCTGTGTAGACTCTGTGGATATGATTGTGTGATTTTGTGTACAAACCACACTCTCAAAGAATTTTTAAAGTCCCAACATAATCTGTGTAGACTCAAAATTTACATATATATTTGCATTTTAAAACAAACCTCACAAAAAAGTATCTAAGCTCCAAACAATAAAAATGAAAGTACACACCATTAAAAATCCATCAAAAGAAGCTGTTCAGCTCACATGTGTGTCTGGCAGTTTGAAAAGCACTTCACTTACCTGCCAAGTGTTAAGGATAGGATTTTGATACTGCTCCTAAACAGTTCTAGGTCAGATATTGACCGATGTAACAGTCCACTTAGGGCTGTGTTTATTAGTTTATGGCATAGTTTTGCTATTGCTAGAGACAATACTAGACTTGCTTTCAGAGTTTTTAAATAGTCTGGTTTGGCACAGTTTGGGAAGAAAAACATTTGTGATGGAGTTGGGCTCAGAACTGGAATATTTCTGACTGTTGTATTTGGTGTGCTGGTGAACTCCAGGACTGAATTCTGCCTCCTGGGCTAATACCTGTCTGCCGTAGTTCACAGAAAATGCCAGAAAAGCAAAATCTGCTCTCTTGCTGAAGAAACAGTGCCGGATCCTTCTTAGTGCTATCCATTGCTCATTCAGCTAACTCTTATCACAACCCAATATTGGAAGAGTTAATCTGCCCTTATTTTATAGTGTTCCACTAATATGAGTAGGGCAGGAAAGACGTATGCAGTTCAAACTGGAAAACATTGTCATTGTTATTAACCCTTGCAGCTTTATCACTGTTTGGTTTTTTTCCTTTTACTATTTTGGCTTTCCTCAAAGCACCAGCTCCCAGTTTCTTCTCACTAGGTGTTGTGGTTTAACCTGGCAGGCAGCTAAACACCACACCGCTGTTCATTCTCTCCCCGGCCCCCAGTGGGATGGGGGAGAGAATTGGGAAAAAAAAGGAAAATTCATGGGTTGAGATAAAGACAGTTTAATAGGACAGAAAAGGAGATAAAAGAATATACAAAGCAAGTGATGCACAATGCAATTACATACCACTGGCCAACCAAATGCCTAGCCAGTCCCCGAGCAGCGCCCCACCCGGCCAGCTTTCCCCCAGTTTATATACTGAGCATGACGTCCCATGGTATGGAATATCCCTTTAGCCGGTTTGGGTCAGCTGTCCTGGCTGTGCCCCCTCCCTCAGCTTCTTGTGCACCTCCAGCCTTCTCAGTCGGTAGAACGTGGGAAGCTGAAAAGTCCTTGACTAGTGTAAGCACTGCTCAGCAACAACTAAAACATCGGTATGTTATCAACATTATTCTCATCCTAAATCCAAAACACAGCACTCTACCAGCTACTAGGAAGGAAATTAACTCTATCCCAGCCAAAACCAGGACACTAGGTAAGAATCTTAACTAATATTTAAACATCAAAATGATCCCAGCAACAGCTCCAAAGAGAAGTCTGGAAGTATCATTCTGTAACGATCAGAAACCAAAGGTGAATAAAAATACCACCGAAGTAAAGCTTTTGTAGGAGATGTAATTGTAAACTGGTGCTCTAGCTTTATGATCTGATTGGTGCTTTTTAAAGAATTTGAACCAAAAGCTTTTGCCTGTGAGCCAGTCTTTTTTAGCAACCCCCAAAATCAGGGAAATGGTGACAATAGGTTCATTAGGTATTGTTCCTCCCCTCTCTAGCCGTTCTTTGTAGACCTTCTATTTAAACTTAACCTTTAAATGGATGCATAAAAAGAATAAATAACTAAATATACATGGTATTCATTTGACCAAAATATTTGTTTTGATTAGGTGTCATCTGTGCCCCATTCTAGTCCTTGACTGGTGTGGTATTGGTGGTGTTAGTGACGGATCCATCTTTGTGTCTTCCTGTTAAGTGCTTTCCATGGTATCAGAACTGCAAAAAGAATACGTGAATTTCTCTAGAGCTGATGGTTGAGCCTGTGCAGTGGATCAGTGCTCTTTCAAGGTGCCTTGTTTGCTGTAGGTTATTTCATCAGTTGGATGCTAATCCTGTAATGAATATTTCTGAATTGGTCCAAATCTGCTCCAGGACAGTTGTTTCAGTAATAGTTTACTAAGTCAATTTATCTTTCACAGATTTGTCAGGGGTTGTCATGTACAGAGAAAGATAGATACTACTTTTTCTGTCTATCTGTTATGCTTATCTTCTTATAGAGTATTCATGACACTAGTGTTGGAATGCTTCAAGGTTTGAAGTTCAAAAGTATATCTAAAGGACTAAAGAGATAGGTAGGCTGACTCGATGGGAACAACTTATATTGGAAGAGCTTAAATTGAAAAAGATTATGAGCTATATTTGCCTTCCCCAAAGAAGACATCTGAGTTTCTTGTGAAGTTGCATCTGATCTGCTGGAGTTTAGGTCTTGAAGACTGTGAACCACTTTGTGTTTGATATTTTTGGTTCTTTTAAAGTTTTTTTTTCAGTAGTTTTGACACCTCTACACAAAATCACAAAACTAGAGAGAAAGAATTACCCCCCACAGACCAAAAAGGAGAAACAGTTGAGGAGGGTACTGTGTTGAAAAGCAGTGACTAGTGTCTTAAGAAACCTAATTTCTCTCTGTCCCCCCTCCCCACAAGGTGTTGCTGCTTCATGTTTAAAAATTACGTTAAAACTGTGGATTACGAGTACAGAAGTTCAGGATGGCTTCAGAACCATCTCAAGAGTTCATTCAGCACCAGCAGCCAGGTTGGTGATCTTGGCAGCAACTCCAGTGTAGGATGTCCACTCTTGCGAGTCAGAGCAATAAATCCTATGCACACCTTTTGATTTTACTTGCTTGATCTCCTGCTGTTGTCAACTCAGTCTGTTGTAATTTTTAAAGTTGCAGGAAATAATTCATAGCACTTAAATACTTCCTTTTGTACAAATTGAACTGCTAGTGTAGGTATTACTTAATGTTCTAATGTTTTGTTGGAAATAGCTATTACCTATGTAAGTACTTTCTTATTTCCTTCAAGAGTTAACGAGAAAGAAGCATATTTGTAAGCCTTCAGAGTAGCATAGTTCTTGTATGCCGAACGCCTCCTGGGTTTGATTTAAGAGAAACAATAATAACTTTTGGGAGGAAGAGACAAGAATTAGGTTAAGTTTCTAGACATTGTATTTTAGCTCAATACCATCTCTACTATTTCTCCTCTTGTTCTGGAGGAGTAATTCTTTCCCTCCAGTTTGTACTTTTGCCAAGAGGTGTCAAAACGGCTTAAAAAAAAAGCTTAAAAAAAGCTTGAATTTGATTAATATAGAGAAACAAGACTTTGCCTGACTGATAATAAAACTGATAAATGACATTTGAATTACTTGTAGCAGTAATTTATTACATAAAATATCTTTTATTTGACATGCGATTAGTTGCTGGAAGCATCACTCAATCTGACTAGTTTAAACATGCTCTAAAATGAACCCCCAGTAAAAAACCAGGGCTGTCTGCTGTTGGCATTATGAAATATACTAATCCAGCAGTGAGGACAAAAATCTGACTTTAAATATTTAAATGATTAATTGGGTTTATATTTTTTTTTACCTTTCTAACCCCTATAATTACAAGCAAACTCAGGGGAGTTTCTGAGCTAGGTGTGCAAAGCTGCATGCTTATCATCCAGGTATTGTCTCTGTTCTTCCCCATGGTATTTATGGTCTCCATTTATGGGGTTTTGCGCAGATTTTACACCTGCTTAAAAGTAGTCTCCAGTGACGGTTTTTCTTGCCATTTGGATCTTCTTCTCCCACCCCTGTGTCTTCATTATGTGGGAGGTTGTAGAATACAGACTGTTTTCTCTTACAATTAAAAATGGTAACTAGAATCCAAACTCTTTTTTTTTTTTTTCCTCAACTCCTTTCTGTGGGTTCACCGTTTGTTCTTGGAAAATCACCTCTTCCAGCCTCAGTTTCTACAGTTTTAAATGTGGATACTAGTGAGGCTGACCTTACTTGGATGCACGAGGCCTAATTAATCGATGTCAGGAAAGTTAATTCTTAGATGAATGGGGATCTTAAAAATAGTAGGGGTTTACTCTGGAAGTGCAATTTACAGTTACTGCTGTGAAAATTAAATATACTTACAGAAAACACAGACTTAACAGCTGGAGAAAATGTCTGTGTCCCTTCCATTTGCCTTTTGAGGGTCTCTTATGTAGAATGGTTTGTTACTTCCCCAATGTCTAAACTGAAGAGTAACTGGGCTATTAGTGCTTTTTCACTTTCTCTGAATTTTATTCCAGTTCTACAAGTGGGGAAATTGAGGATATGTGGAGAAGTCAGTGTGAGCACTGAGGTTACAGCTGAGAAACTTCTAACCCTGTCTCCACCCCGCGTTTTAGATTAGAGCATTGCAGAGAAAAAGGAAGATTGAATGTGGATTTTAGGCAGAGCTGTGACATTCTTCATAACATTGTAAAGTTGATGTGGTCAATGCTCAGCCTTTACTGTGTCCCTCACTCACTCACTTCTCCTCTCCACCCCCCTCACTTTTTTTTGCCACAAGACAGAATTATTTCACACATCTCTAAAACGAGTAAAATGGCATTTCAGCTTCTTGTCTTTATAGACTCTCTGAACTTTAGGAAAGATCATTCTGGTCCCTTTTCATTAATAATGAAAACCAGGGGGCAATAAAATGTTCTTAGCTCAAGCATTACAGGAATGGAGGGAGAGATGAGTGAGGTGAAAGGGCAAAGCGGACAAGGTCCTACAGGTGTCTCTCCTTTCTACTCAGAGGTCACCGCAGCTGGGAGGTAGGTAGGGACAGCCAGTCAAGGACTGCCATGGACAGGGCACAGTTGGACCCACAGACCCTCTGAGATTAATTAACCCTTTACAATAGGCAGTTCAGCCTGGAACGAGCTGCGTTGTCATAGAAGGATATTTTTAGTCAGAAGTTCAGGGCAGAGAACTGGACAACCAAGAGACTTCAGATACCAGAAATGACAGTGGGAGCAGAGTAAGGAGGGGAAAGTGGGATGGATGACTGGGGTTTGCAGCAAGATTAGCCAGAGATCATTTTAAATCCTGACATGTACACAGCCAGTTACTGCAGCTTAGCTGACGTGTGTTAACTCATTAAGTTAAAAAGTTATGATAATTTGATCATGTGCCTGAGCTCCAAAACTGCAACTGCAGCAACCCAAAATACTGCTGGTGACACTATTCACCAATTCTGACAGAGCTGCTTTTAATTTGTTCAGATTTCTAGCCAGTGGATAATTTGAGGAGCTGTGTCCTAAAACATAGCAAGAAGCTCTGAGTGCCGGTATTTGAGAGTCAGTGCCTGTCTGTAGAGCCTTGAGGGCTCGGATTAGGAGTAACTCATGCAATGAAATGCCTGTACAAGATCACAGCAACAGGAAAAATGGCAATAGGTGAGCAAAGCAGAAAGGAGACAAGCTTCCAGCCATTTCAGCCAGTTAAGCCTCCCTTTGAAAGCCTAAATTGAAACTTTGGAGAACAGAACGCATTTCCGAGACATTGTAGGTCACATGTAGATTTGGATCTGTCTGTTTGGAGACTGTACACCGGCCTCCACCTCATCAGTTCTGCCCACATCCTGCCAGTGAACTTTAGGAAAGATCACTCTGCATCCTCTTTATTATTAAAGAAAACTGGGGGCAGTACAAGATTCGTTAAGGGAACTGTGAGGGAGGTAAAAGGATAAAGCTGGTGGAAAACTACAGGTGTCTTCTGATTCTGCTTGAAGGAGCAGAGCATACCGTATCTTTGCTTTGCTCTGTGGAGTCTCTAAGCTTCTGTGTAAAATTGTGTGTTAAATATCTCAAGCTTTTATCTACTTCTTTACCTCTCTCTGTAGGTATTTAATTGCATATTTTCTCTCTGCTGTTTATGTGTGCTTTGGTCCCTATTCATAATTGAGGCTTGAAAGACACTGGATCCTTCCTTAGTGAAATGGTCCGTAATTGCTGACACAGTGTTCATAAACCCATTTATTGCCCTGATTTCTCTTCTTTCCTTTCTCAAAACGCTTCCTTCTTTCTTTTTTTCTGCACTCTCCTGGGTCTCTGGCTCTGTCCTCATTTTCAAAAATGATGATAGTGAAGAGCAACTGGTATTCAAGTAATGAGTTAACCTTAGCTACCACTAACACCACAGACAGTTATCTGGGGAAAGTGCAGTAGGGTTCAGTGTGCCTTCTGCAAGGAAAGAGTAGGGCAAAACAGCTTGATGGAACCTTTTTAATTGCTGCTGTGATTTGTCTCCCTTTGACACCTTGTGAGGCCAGTGTCAATGCTAGAGGTCCAGACAGATGTTTCAATGTGCTAGGGCCAGAAGCCTGCACACTGTACCTGAGGGACTACCAGTATCTTAATGCTCCCTGCTGAGTAAATCTGTGCCTGCTAAGGAACAGCAGAACTGGCATTATTCATTGCTTTTTTCTCTGATAAAATGGGTGTATGAAAATGTTGTCACCTGCAGTTCTGACTATGATTATTTCTTGATTTTGGCCTTTAGGTCCTCCTGGCTCCAGATGGCGAGATTATGGGGCTTTGGCTATCATCATGGCAGGAATTGCCTTTGGATTCCACCAGCTCTACAAGGTAATACCTCCCTCACTACCCTTACACCGTGCTCTGAGAGAATGATGTTATGCTGCTTGTGTCCAAATGATCATGTTGGTTCCAAGTTGGTTAAGCATCTCTGTTCTTACTGGCGCTGACATTGCTATATTTGAGAAATGTAGACACTTAACGTGGAAATGCAGAGTCAAAAAGTGACAAGCAAACAAAACTAGTTTTTAGCAGTGGATCTCAAACTGCTAGTTTTTAGCAGTGGATCAAGCTACTAGAAACAAGGTAATTTTCATTGTGTATATATATTTTGGAATTTTTAAAGTTGGGGAAACTGAGCACAGTTCAGTAAAGGGATTTTCCCCGCATTGGCCAGCAGACATTACTGTCATAGCGCCAGTCTAATGATTCGTCCACTGGTGATCCTGCACCACGGGTAGGAAAGAATCTTCTTTGACCAGTCAGAATGTTGTTGAAAAGAAGGTGCTAATTTCCAGGTCTGCCATACATCCTGTAGTTCTACTCCAGTGTGCTTAGAACAAGGTAGAGCAAGCGTGTGTCTGCTTGTGTATTGTAGAGACAGCAGCCCCTTCTTTTTTCTTGTGCAATGTTTCTGCAATTGAACATATTCTTTCACTCTGGATTTGCTTTCCAGCAATGCGGTAAGTGACATTAGATAATGTCTTCGGTAAACAATCATATTCTGTGGCTACATAGAAAGACATAAGTGGTTCAGGTCAACACAGCGGAGTGTAAAGAGCTTTGGTCCAGTAGAAGTTGTGTTTTATTTTTGAAAAAGGGACAGAGATGAAGACTTAATGAGAGGTTGATGGTTTTCATGTTTGTTCAATTAACTATTACTGTCTTGTTTAGTAAAATCTATTTTACAATAAAAGTGTTGGCCTTCTAGTTTAAAACTACTTTTCTTATCCTGTCCTATCATTAATTTTCTGGGTCTCAGGCTAAGATAGAGAGGCCAGATTAAGCAACATGTTCCGTCTATGGCTTTTTATTGAGATATGTTGTCCCTATGTTTTTATATAAAAGTAGTGATGCCAACCTTACTGATCTTTTCGTTCTTGCAAATGGTGGGGCTGATAAGTGTCCAGAGAGATGTTAAGACAACAGCTGCTGGGCCTTGCAGACCTGAACACATTGCTGTTACTAAATGACACGTATCTAACACATATTGATGATTTACATAAATTTTTTGGCATAATGTCACTGATGCTGTTGATATATCCTACTGCTGTATTCTTTGTTTACAGATCTTGCTCTGCTGTCTATCCAAACCTCATAAGGCATATTGTGTGCCTAGCAGAGACCCATATTCTTGTATAGGAGTAAGAAATCTTTGGAGCTTGATAAATTCCCTCTGCCTTTCATGGGATTTTGAGGGAGTTTGCAAATCGTGGTTTTTATATGAAAGATAGGATGCTAGGATAAGATATAGTTGTCCATGTGTGTTCTGTGAAGATTAAGAGAGAACTGTTTATGAAAGTCATCAAAAGCTATTTGCTTTTCAGAATGTCTGAGTGTAAACATGTACATGTGCTTTGTGAGGGTAAGAGCTGTGTACAGCGACACTGAATCTTAAACCAGTGCTATTAAGTGTAAAAGAAGGCTGTCCCACACATGTCAGTTTGGATAATCAGCTCTGTCTCAGAAACCATCCTGTATGTATGCCCTGATAGTGGGTGTACATGCATCAAAAGCCAGGATGAAAAAGAATTGATAGGCACTATCAGGGCTGTTTCCACATCCTAGACCATCCTTCTCTCACTTTTTTTTCACCTGCCATCTTGTGCTTGGATGTGCCCTTGTTAAAGTGCATATTCAGTTCATAGGAGCTGTGCTGCAGAAGGATCCATGGTAGTTAGAGGAGAGTTGTGACCTGTTAGATCCAGTCCAAGGGCAGAATGAGGTAGATTTCATGGCTGTGTACAGTGTCACTGACCTGCCTCCCATCCTGTACTAGCTTGTTTCTCACTTCCTTTAGCCCTGGTTCCTTAGTTCTCTTCCCTGTGCTCCAGGTCTCTGCTTTTCCCTCCATGCCTTGTAACCCTTCCCCTGCCAAGGTTCAAAAGATTTTACAATACTTCTCGTTCCCTGGCTTGTGCTTCTTCTGGCCTTTCCTGGGCCTTTCTCCTCTTCTTCCCACTTCTGCATTTCTTGCCTTGTGGATGTAGCTCGAATGTTGCGACACATCAGTGTGTTCACATTTGAGAGCGTAAAATCTGAAATTGTACTCTATATGTGATGGATGTTCCTCTGGACTGAGAGCTGTCCCAGGAAACCTTAAATGGAGTTAGGAACTGTTTTTTAGCACCCCCAAAAATGTAACCACAGAACTCATATCTTCTCTTTGGCAACTTCATTTAACACCTACTGTAGAGGGAATTTGATCACTGGCTCTGTAATAAAGGCTGAGGTTTGGGTGGTGGGCTTTGAGGATGTTTCAGGTAGATTAGAAAGACCGCTTTGCATATCCCTATTTCCTAAAAAAGTTTCTGTGCTCCATGCAGAAATACCTGCTTCCTCTCATCATGGGAGGCAAAGAAGACAGGAAACAACTTCAGAGGATTGAGTCAAACATTTCTGAGATGAGTGGCAGTGTGACACAGACAGGTAAAGATTAATGACTCCATCAATTCACCCCTCAAAGCCTTTCTCCCTATATCCTCCATTCTGCCAAGACCCCCACCCTTTTCTTTCCCTCCATCTCCACTTTATGTGGTGACTTCATTTATCTGCTCTGAGAATCTGTTCACATTTGCAAATGAAGCCGCCGTCATTTCGGTTTAATTTGAAATTGCTTGTTTACTGTCGGCGCGGCCTCAATTAATTATGTTTTTACGGAAAGGCTCCCAACCTCAGAATATTAATAAGGGGAATAAAATGACAGCCTTTCGGAGGGCTGTAAAGTTCATTTTTAATTTCTGCTTCTCTGATGTTTTCAGGGGGTTTTTTTTGCTGTTTTCCCCCCACCTTCCATCTGAAAATCCGAGGAAGGGTCAGGAGAGTCTGTAATTACTGTGCCTCCCTGACCTTAGCCACCTTCTCTGTTATTGACTCTATAGGGTGTCTGTTCATTACCCGATGCCCTAATGATGGTCTGGATTAGCTGTTACCTGTCACACCAATAGAGTTTTTAATTTTATTTTATTTTATCAGCTTGTTTACTGCCTGAAAGCTTTGGATAAAGTACCAAAGTAGAAAAAGTTCTCCTACAGCTGGAGTTGGAGTCCAGCAGAAATTCTTCTGTGTTTGCTGGGGTGTAGGAGGGGTGTACAGGGTGTTCTCTTGAAATAAAAGGAGAAAAGCGCAAAGTGTATTCAGTTGATGGGATGGAAGAAAGTATGATTTTCAGCAGTAAGTTTCTTAAAGATGCTGGGGTTGAAGAAGCTGGTGGATTGAGAGTGGGAGGATGCTAATTGCACTTTTTAGTGGAGAGTGAGAAGAAAAGCATCTTTCATTTCTCTTGATACCCTAAGGTCAATCCTGAGACCAGCCTCTTCCCCGATTGGAGCTAGCCCCAGTGTTTGCCTGCGTGAGGCCCAAGATAGATAAATGATACAAACATTGTATAAGTTCAGGGAGATGTACAAATCATAAACCAATATAATTAGAAGGGAGAGGTTTTGGACGGATATACTGTGGGCTATAGACATCTATACAATGGAAAGATAAACTAGAAATACTGGAGGTTAGATGCAGTGCAGGTAGATTACCCGTAGTGCAGATAAATCATATGGATTAAAGTGAGCAGGCGGGCGTAGATAAATTAAATATAGTAGGAATAGAGGCATCTTTGTAGCGAGACAGCAGGAAGGACGTGTGTGAGTGCGTATATGTGCATGTATCTCAGTTTAACACTCTCCTGCTTTTTTCCTCACAGTGACTCAGTTACAGACAACGTTAGCAGCTGTCCAGGAACTGCTAATCCAGCAACAACAGAAAATCCAGGAGCTCACCCAAGAACTGGCTGCTTCTAAGGTATCCGCTTCCAACTCTTCACCTTTAGAACATCACCATCTTCTTTGGAACATGCATAGCTTCTTTTGTGGGCACATGGAAAGGACCTTATTAGGTTCACAATCCAACCTTCAGCTCTGTCATATCCCCAGCCAGTTTCCCTGCATCTGACTTCTCCATAGGCAGTCTGTTTAAAGCACTGGGTATTAATTGGGTACTCTGAAATATATCTAACTTCTGAGAGGGCTTTGCTATATAGCTTTGTATGCAGCCTGTGTGTCTGAGGCCTCAGACCTGTTCTCAGCTCTGTATGTTCTGCATTGCATTTGAGATGAAATAATTGTGCTGTTAGTCCACTGACCAAAAGAGGTAAAGGCCAGCTATGCAGAGGTTTTATTTGTGTGTAATACGTAGTTTTACATGTTTCTATTTCTCCTGTACCCTTGTACATTGTCAAAACAATGACTTAATCCTGTTCAGCCAAGCACACACTTGAAGTACTGTATTTAAGTCACCTGTTCAGATCCAGGCCGGGTAATGGCCGAATATTCTTACTATTTGGGTTCTTGTTTCAGTGATTTTGGTCATCTCAGTTTAACAGGTGGCTCCATCACAACCACATTAGTGATGCACAGTGGCCCAATCCCCTTGACTCCTGACTTGACCCTGGCAATAAAACCATAAGTTCTGCCTAGTTTGTGTTGTTACATGTGTAACTACAAGTAACCACTTTTCACCAAAATTTGTTTTCTTTCTGGCAATGAGAATTAGTGCTTTTCATCTGACACGGTCCCCCACAACATCCTTCTCTCTAAACTGGAGAGGTATGGATTTGATGGGTGGACTGTCCGGTGGGTGAGGAAATGGTTAGGTGGTCACATCCAGGGCGTAGTGGTCAATGACTCAATGTCCAGATGGAGACTAGTGACGAGTGGCGTCCCACAGGGGTCCGTATTGGGACTGGTACTGTTCAATATCTTCATCAATGGCATAGTGGGATCGAGTGCAGCCTCAGCAGGTTTGCAGATGACACCAAGCTGAGTGGTGCAATTGACATGCTAGAGGGACCTTGACAAGCTCGAGAAGTGGGCCTGTGTGAACCTCAGGAGGTTCAGGAAGACCAAGTGCCAGGTCCTGCACCTGAGTCAGGGCAACCCCCAGTCTCAATACAGGCTGGGGGATGGAGGGATTGAGAGCAGCCCTGCCAAGAAGGACTTGGCGGTACTGGTGGATGAAAAACTGGACATGAGCCAGCAATGTGCGCTCGCAGCCCAGAAGGCCAGTTG